CAGCACCACCCTGACACAGTTCTTCCTCCAACAGGCTCTGCTGGAGCACGAAGACGAGCTTCCAGAGAACATGAAACCCTCCCAGCTCATCAAGGACCTCGCCAGGGAGATCCGGCTGTCAGAGGTACTATGATTGGACCTTAGGGGTGACATCATGGAAGGTCAACCACTCACCCCTCTGGACCCTTTAGACATTCAGAGTAAAAGTTGTTGCCTAGCAACAATTAGATTTTTTTTCTCTTTGTATGACAGACTGAATAAATATGAGGGTTCTGTCTGGTTTCTGGTTGGTTAGTTGGTAACACTGGCTTAACTATCTCTGCTCTCCACCCCAGAATGCAACCAAAGCCATCAAGACTGAAACCAGCATCAAGCTGCCTGCAGAGGAGCCGGCTGGGACCCACTCTGAGGCCGAGGAGCTTGTTTCCCCGCCGCGCAGCCCGTCCCCCAGCAGAGAGAGGCCCAAGAAAAAGGCCTCCAAGGTCCCCAAGCCTGCAAAGGTCAAAGACGGAGAGAAGAAGAAAGTGAAGAAGACCAAGGAGCCATCACCGCCTCCAAAGCCCTCCAGCTTCGCTGCCCTGGAGTCCCATGCCAAGGAGATCCTCAGCAAGATGGACCAGCAGAAAAAGCCAAAGGTGAAAACATTTCAGCAGAATCAGAACGTTTCCATAAACCCAATATGCGAAGCTCTAAGGTTCTGATGTGAGCAGTGGATCAGCAGATGTCTGTTTGTTCAGTTACAGAAAAATCACGTTTCATTTATGGAGTTTGTTTATTTATTTATGTAAAAAAATATCTTGGGCTTCATCAGTGCTGCTATCAGAGAGCAGAACCCTACCATGGAGAGCCATCCTCCGCCACTGTCAGAGAAACATCATGTCTGTTCTCACCGTGACTAACGGAGGAAAACGGCCAGTGAGCCAGACAGGAAGAAGCCCTGGTACATTTCAAAATAAAACAAACCAAATGTTTCCACTGTGCATGGACGTGCGACTCCGTTAGAGAGGAAGCATCTGGGGTTAGAGCTAATCCTGCTGTCTATCTCCATCCTACGGCGCTTTTGGGGGCGGAGACTCTCCGTCATCCTTGGCCATCAGGGAGACAGAGCAGGAACAGCTGACAGAATCCCCCCACTGGCGAGGTGTCTCCTGTAGCCTTTAAAGGCAGTCAGCAGCTAGTGGCTCATATTCGACCCTTCATTTAGGACCACAGGAGACAAAGATTATTTAGTCTTTAAACGATGATGCCCTTGAAACTCATCTGCACACAACGCCCCCTAGTGTCCAGCATGATGGTGATGATCTGAGCCAGAGAGAGGCAGAGCCTCCTGATGCTGATGATAACCAACCATCTGCTGGGATGATGGCTGTTTCCTGACCTTCTGCTGACACCTGTGTGTTTCCTTTGATATTCCAGGTTGTTAAAAATGTCCTCAGCGTGTCTGAGAAAGAGACGTCAAAGCAGAACAACATGGACAAGTTTGACATCAGAGAACAGAACAAAAACAAGACCGAAGCTAAATGGAAATACAAGGTGAGCGTTTCCTCTCTAAACCTGGAAGCATCATCCAGGATATCATCTTATAATATAATATATATATATATATATATATATATATATATATATATATATATATATATATATATATATATACATATGTACATTTTACTACTTTTCAAGGCTGCACTTTAAAAAAAGATGAAATTGAAAGATCACGTCAAAGCAGGAAGAAGGAGAAGGGAAGTCCACTATTTCAGAGCGATATACTTCACTGGGCGTTGGGATTGGCAGAGAAACTGGCAGAAGGATTAAAATTCAACAGGAAAACAGATAAAAATAGGAAAATACTAAGTACAAACTATGTGGATGTGAAGATGTAAAATACAGCAGAGTGGGTTGTTCACTGTTTTAGAAACTCTTTAATTTCGGGCAAAAGTTCCAAAAATCTTTCTAAGATTTGCCACAGCTCAGCCACCTGACGTCGATGTGCAGCAGCAGATCAGTGTGGTCTGCACCTGCCTCCTCGAGCTGGGCATGGAATGAACGCCTCTGAAAACTCCTGGCCCATACAGAGCAAGCGATCTTCATCGCAACGACCATGATATGTTTCATATTTAAAATATTGCCGCACAGCTGTTGCTGGTGAATGATGCAGTTGAAGCTCCAAAAATCCGGGAAAGTTTCAGACATCTTGAACAGAGCAACGAATCCAGCAGTGCTTTAGAGTCCCTGGTAACAACCTAGCAACCGTAGCAAACCATGCCCAGCAATCAGCATGGATAAAAAAAGGTTCCTTGCATACTTTTTATTTTTCATTTTATTATTATGAAATTAAACATTGGCCTCTCGTGATCAATGATTTGATTTGTGTTTTTTAAAAGTTTTTTTTTGTTGTCATAGCTATAAATAGGTCTACATTGTAAAACTTATCGCGATCGACTGAAACTCTGCCCACGATCGACTGGTTATTCACCCCTGATCCAGTCTTTCATCCAGGCTATCATCTAGGCTATTATTCTGGCAATATCCTGGCTATCATCCTGGCTATCATCCTGGCTATCATCCTGGCTATCATCC